TTTTTTATTGGTCACATGAAATATTCTAATTTTGTGAAATACTGGATTTGGGTTTTTTTGTCTTTAATCCATAATCATCAAAATTGAAACAAATAAAGGCTTGAAATATTTCACTTTGTGTGCAGTGAACTAATATAACATACAAGTTTCACTTTTTGAAACAAATTATTGAAATAAATGGACTTTTCCTTGATATTCTAATTTTTTGGCACATACCTGTACTTCCACTCCACTACATTTCAGAGGAAAATGCAGGTGTTTTTACTCCATACATTTATCTGACAGCTATTATTAACCACGTTCCCTATTTAGATTTTGCATTAAAAACACTAGAAGGCTGGTACCTGGTAACTACAAGGTTGTTCAAACTCCTATATCTACTAAATAACACCTCTTTCTTTTGAGCATTTAACTGCATCAGAACTGCACGTATGTATACTTGCACAAGAAAGTCAGGGGTATTAACACAGAGCAGGATTTGAGTTTTCTGCATTAGCATTCCTGAGGAGTGTTAGGTATTTTTAGTCAGATAGATATTGGATAGATACTTTATGTATTAGAAATGTTTAGTGGAGATAGGATGTCTAGTTAGACTGTTAAATGCTTAGGCATGCTTATGAGTTTCTACAAGGTACATCTGGTCAAGGATAACTAGAGAGAAGAGTTGATGACTGTCAGCAGACAGGGTGTTTAATATTATTATTATGACGTGTATAACTGTAGCCTTAGCCATAATATGTTCTTATGTTTAAGTCACGACATGTTACTAGAGGTCGTGAGAATGTTTTTAGCTACACACCACTTAATCAACAGCCACACACACACATTGATTTGCTTCATGTTTTGACTACTGCTATGACCAGCTGCAAAGCTGGTAACAGAGACGTCTCGGTTGACGTTTCTGTGTAGTATGGGGCTAGCCCAACCGAAGGGATATAATGTATAGGCCTGGTGGGTTCAGGGTCTTTCATCTTACATCTGCCTGCGAGCAGTTTGGAGGTGCAAGATACCTGAGTGTGTAATGTTAATTTTACCTGTGATCCTTTGAATAAATCAGCACTGTTTTGTAGTTACTTGAACTGTCTCGTCTCTCAGAGTCAGTATGGTAAAAAGTACCGGGTACAACAGGAGGAAATCATTCTCAAACATGATGTTGAAGCCAACTCTATTACTGAAAAGCAGGTTTATCAACCACTCCAATCATGAGCTCTTCTTCCTAGACATCTTTAGAATATTCTACATTGTTCTACTGGGATGCTGCAGCTTTATCAAAGTCTAACATTATCCAAGAAAAACGCTCCTCTACGTTCACCAATACAGATTGAGGATTCATGTTCTCAAGAGGGATCTCTCTCTCTCACACACACACACACACACACACACACACACACACACACACACACACGGAACTGATTCTAGGAATATTGATCATTTTTGTCCAGGCTGCTGACAACAAGCAATGACAAAGCATTTTTAAATGGGTTTTACGTCTTCTCTATCTTGTTCACACATTAAATTAGGAAGAACTCACCGACCTCTGAGTCTGTCGTCTTCGCTGCCTGAAACGACGACCACCGGTTCACAATGAGGGGAAACCACTGGCACAGCCCGGTTACTCCTCGTTTGAATTGTGTGAACCAGTGCCAAAAAGCAGAATCCAAAGTCACAAGGAGTCTCCAGGAGGCTGTTTTAAAATCATTTTCCTCCGTTTCAAAGGTGGAGAAGTGCAGCTGCATGCGGTGTTGGCACAGTAGGTGGCCGGTGAATCGGTGCAGCGTGTCCCGGTTCCTGAGAGAAAACCAGGACAACATGAAGTGGGCCAACATCCCCAAATAACCGCAACAACGTGTTCCAGTCCGGCCCAGGACTCACAATCAAGTAGCAGACGATAAAACTATGTTTACCTGCTCTAATCATAACGGACTGACAGTAAACAAACCTGACACAGAAAAGCGGACTTGCAGGTCGAGACTGATAATGAGGATCAGGTGCGCAGGTGAGTGCGCGGACCCGGTGACTGCTTAACAAGGGCAGAAACTCACTGAGGGCAACTAGTGGACAGGTAGAGAATTCCAGTGATGGAAGACGTATTCAGATCCTTTATTTTAGTAAAAGTACATAATTACAGGCATCAAAATCTATATAAAATAACGCTGTGGTTAATCAGTCTGTAGTTAGTTTTCTTCAATATCTGGTCGTTCCAAGTTTCCAGATAACGTGCAACTTCCTAACAACATTGTAGTTAGTTTTCTTCAATATCTGGTCATTCCAAGTTTCCAGATAATGTGCAACTTCCTAACAACATAAAGACACAATATGTAATCACTGCACATAGATGTATGTTGCAAATCATCCATGACAATGGGAAAAGAAGATATAAGTTCTCAGAAATGTTATCAGAGTGGTGTCAGTGACAATTTGCTGATTGAATACATTGTCAGACAAGAAAAAGTTGCCAAACTACAAAAATGTACAATTACAAAAACTTCTTTCCTCTTCAATAAAACCATAAAGATGCAATATTTTAAATGATAGTGGAAGCTGGGTTTATTACATTTCTCTGTTGAGACTCTGTCTTGCTCATGATGCACAGTGATGTGCATTCTTGTTCCTGTTTTTCTACACGGAAGTGGTTTGTTGGCAGTAAGTATATTAAGACCTGTGGGTATCATAGTAAAACCAAACTCCTCAGTTCATCAGCAATGGACAAAACTGTGCTCCTGCTCCTGTTGTGTCTGCAGGGTTTCCTGCTTCTCACCAGCCCCACTTCTACTGATGCAGCTGCTCCGAGCAGAAACCAACAAGTTCTTTCAACGGTAAGAAAACGCAGTGCTGTTCATTGACTGTAAGGAGCTTTTCTTAGGTTGAAAGAAGATCCTTGATTTTGTGTTTTTACATTTGAATATCAAATGTGTTTCATCAGAAATCCTCATTTTGTAATAGAGACCAAGGCGAAAGCAACACCCCTGCCCTGGGAAACCAGGTTGCAGAGGTTTTGTGTCTGCAGGGTTTCCTGCTTCTCACCAGCCCCACTTCTACTGATGCAGCTGCTCCGAGCAGAAACCATCGATATTGTCCTAAGGTAAGAAAACGCAGTGCTGTTCATTGACTGTAAGGAGCTTTTCTTAGGTTGAAAGAAGATCCTTGATTTTGTGTTTTTGCATTTGAATATCAAATGTGTTTCATCAAAAATCCTCATTTTGTAATAGAGACGAAGGCCACCACAGACGACAACGAAACACCCCTGTTTTGGGAAACGAGGTTGCAGAGGTGGTCATCAAAAATCCTCATTTTGTAATAGACACCAAGGCCACCACAGACGACAACGCAACACCCCTGTTTTGGGAAACCAGGTTGCAGAGGTGCCACCCCTGTTTTGGGAAACGAGGTTGCAGAGGTGGTCTTGTAAGTCAAAACTTTTCACTCTGAGTTTATCTCCTTGCTGTCCTAAAATAAACTGTCTCCCCAAAATCCCCAGCTTGATCTTACTAAAAAAAATGACTGACAGTGTAACATATTTTTACTTTTCTGATCTTTAAAAATGCTGAATGTTGAAATACGTGTTTTCGACTGCATAAATGCACTAATGCAGCAGTAGCATCAGTAAACAACCTTTTCCCGCTTATTTCTTCTCAAGAGCCATCACTTAAGTAGAAATGAAATGAATGCTGAGGACAGGACCTGAGTGCTCCTCTGCTTGTTATTCATGAATCAAGACAAGAACAGATCACAGCTATTTAAAGAAATGTCAATGTGACAGACAACCATCAAAAGCTGACTGTATTTTATTTCTTCTAGGTTTCTGCTTCTATTTGTTTTCCCTTTCATTGTTTCTAAACCACATGTAGACAAATAATAAAACAATCCTTTCACTAGTCCTCCATAATGTCACCACAAGATAGTCATCAAGTACAATAAAGAGGTTGAAGTACAGTAAAAATAAGAATCTCATCATCTCTGACGGCTCCATTATTGACAGTATTCTCGTGCACAGTGAGTAACAAACAGCTGACAAACATAAAAACAGAAGCTTTTTTTAAAGGTGCATTCATTAAGATTTTTCTCCCTATGATAAATCCAGTGAAAATGCGACAGGATGTGCTGTCTCTCTGCTGTCCCACCCCACTCCATGACACTCTGCTACCTACAGCACTTCTATTGTTATTCTGGCTAAACTCTCTTGTCAAAGTTCGGTCTGTTAATTAGCCGACTAGCAAAGGCTATAAGATGTGTTTTTCAAACAGCAATTAGCCATTTCAAACAGCCAGACATGAAGAAGAGCTTGGCAGCTAGAAGCAAAGCAGTGGCAGGCTGGATCTTTTGCACACAGCGAGCGTGGGAAAAAGAAAGAGCAAAAACCAGGGTTAACATCAGTTTGGCTTCTTCTCTCTTTCTGAAAGCAACCATGCACTTCAGGCCCTCAGTGCATATTTAAATAAAATGAGGAGCACTCTGAATGTACTTTCATTCTGTCTTGCAATTACAGTAAATTCCCCAAATGAACCCAGACTGCAGGGGTTTCTTCTTGTGTAGTTTCATCGGCTAATGGTTTCTCTCTCTCTCTCTCTCTCTCTCTCTCTCTCTCTAGGACGTGTAGCTTCTTGAGGAGTCTACTGGTACAATCAGCCACCGCCTTCACACCATGAGTGCTCCACATCTCACTGCTCATATAAATGTTTGCAGATGCAAACATGTTGAATATATTATGTATTTTCAGTATGATCTTCATTGGCCAAAACTGTTTAAAATTGTTTGATCTAAACAATAACTACATGACCCGAACACTCTACTGCTCATTGCTTGTACGGTTTCAACCCAAGGACAAATCAAATCATTCAAAGAAAATGATGAGCATATCAACTCCAACCAGAACATAAAATAATCTGCCACTCATTACACTGGGAAGAAGAAGTAAGCTTGTCTAACAGTGCTCATGAATGTGCACTAATTTATTATGGTCATGGTACAGGGTCTGTATGAATCTAATACTGGCAATGTGACTATTTCTGCTAATGTGGAGATTAAAAGAGTAAGAAAATTAATATCTGCAAATGCAATTTTTTTTGCAAACATGTTATTGCAAACTGTTTAATATGCATAAAACAAAATGTATAAAAGATACAGTGATTAAGCTCACAAATGTCAACTTTCACCATTCAAAAAAAGTTATTTTAAGAGCTGCATACTGTATTTTGACCACAAGATAGCACCAGTTAACCCAGTTTTACTGCAATGGTTCACTTTCTGTGATTTGTTGCAAACAAAGTAAAGTGAATGATACAAACATCCCCAAGCTTCCATTATTACACTGTGCATGCAGTTACATGAATGTCTATCTAACATCGACAGACAGAAGAATTAATTCTATAAACAATAGTAGGAATTTATTTTGGCAGCACTGACAGAAAATATCCCTCAGTTCCCTACATTCACACCGGGAGCTGACCAGACTTACTGGGAGCCTTTCTTCACCTAATAAACAACCAAGCAGCTTATTGCAACCTATTGTTACATTTTCTTGTCAGGCAACCACTAGGTCTGCTTAACTGTTGAATCCAAACTATTGTATGGTCTGTCCATAACCTCCAGTGGCATCAGAAGAAGAAGTCAGGCTTTGGTTTCCACAATTATCCTGCTATTCCAAATCTAAAGTGATACTACAAACAACAAAAGAAACACAAACTGCCAGGTCATGAACACAGGTTTGACATAATAGGCTCAAACATGCAGCTGACAGGTGTAACTGAGATGAAATGAACCCACCAGACATAAAGTAAAAAACAATGCCATTCAGCATCTTGTAATCTGTAGCCTCATCTGGTACAAGCTGATTTACCCAGGCTACATACAAAGCCAGTGTGTGTAAATAAATGATCTTCATTAACATAGAGCATCTTCAGTGATTTCATTCATCACTAATGTCGACGGTCATTCAGAAGCTACAGCAGGTCTCTGTATTTGTTTAGTTTTTGGGGAAGCCCATACATGCTGAGCTGGATACCCCAGAGCTTTCAGAAAGCCTGATGTGAATGCTAATTATGATAACTGATATGACATGCATGTGGCACAATCCACAAAACCGGCTCCTCATTTGGGATATAGTGTTCTACCCTAGAAAATCATTTATAATCTGGTCTAAGCAGAAATGTATTACTGCCACATAACATATGTTTTAGGTCAAGGCACACTAATGTAAAAATACTGTCACTCTTGAAGACAAGCCAGTTCAGTCTCAGCACTTTCATTCTGTTCCACTCAACAAACTAAAGTCTCCCTCTTCTTTGTGGCTTTGTCGCTACTTTTCCTTTTCTTGTGATTAAAACATGAACCCGGGGGCGGGGTCTAACTGGTTTGCGTTTGAAGTGGACACTATTTTTACAGAGGAGCAGGAAATGTCCCAGTAGGAGCTGAAATTGAAGGAAACACCGATATTCATCAAATAAATAGAGTCAAGATTAAATCACACTTGATGTTACAAAATTTCAGTCTGCAGATTTGTGCATGCATGCGTGTGTAGATGGGTTATTATACTGCTGCATACACCCTTTTAATTGCTTCTCATTACGGCTGGTTTGTTGGCAGTAAGTATATAAAGACCTGTGTGTTTCATAGCGAAACCAAACTCCTCAGTTCATCAGCCATGGACAAAAGTATGCTCCTGGTCCTGTTGTGTCTGCAGGGTTTCCTGCTTCTCACGGCCTCCACTTCTACTGATGCAGCTGCTCTAATGACCCAAGATGACCCACCTCCTAATGGGGTAAGAAAACACAGTGGTGGTCACTGACTGTAAGGAGCTTAAAAGAAGCTCTTTGATATTATTTTGAACAATACTGTATGATGCTCATATGAGCTACAAAAGCCTTTGTTCTGTTTGATGCACAGCTTCATCAAATGACAGCAAATGAAAAACTATGGCGAAACAGTAAGAAGAAAAATAAGCCACCTTTATATCTCTTAAAGGAAACGACTGCCAGTCTAATATATTTTTGTTCATCTTTGAAAATGCTGAAGAGTGAAATCATTTTGTTAAATTGTGTAAATTCAGTGGTGTAGCAGTAGCATCAGTAAATAACTCTATAAACTCATTCTTACCTGTTTTTCTGAAGGGCTCCGCTCTGGAATATGAAGCAGTGACTCCTGACTACATGACCTGAGCACTCCACTCCTGATAATTCCTGATTTAAGACAATACCAGAACACAGTTATTTTAAAAAATGAAAAGCATGTCAGCATAACAGACACAACCATGAAATGATCAAATATACTGATTGCTCAACAGATTTGTTACTTCTAGAAAGATACATTTATTTCTGTTCTACTTCAAGTCATTTTTTAAAATCGAATTGTGCAGACAAATAATACTTTTATCTCTAGTGCTACATAATATGACCACAAGATGGAGTCAGTCAGCTTTTTTCTTTTTCTTTTCTTTGTTTTTTTACATCTATAGTTCACTTTGTTACAAGCAAAATAAAGTGATGGAAACAAAGAAGAGTCTCATCATGTTTGAAGCCTCCATTATTATAGCATTCTACATGTATGAATAGCAAACAGCTTGGTGACACTTAAGAACAGAAGAACCTTTTAAAATAAACAATAACAACAAACATTTTAACTGAAACGTTAAGCTGGGACCTGCCCAGGTAACGCACTTTAGACAACATTTGGAAAAATGTGCAAGAATTTCGAGTGGCAACATATATAATCAGATGATAATCAAAACCTAAGAAATCTGGGCCCTCCCTCAGTGGGGATCATTATTTATGCGGCCTTGGCCCCCCGCCAATCGAAATCTTGATAGATTAAACCTGAAAGGTAATCTCCCACATTCCTTGTGGTTTCAGCTGCAGGGTAGTTATTAATACTGTGGGTGCGGATGAAGGTAAAGTGCAGTTAATACACCACAAGTATGTTTCTTTTTTAGTGGCAGTAGGGTGTCCTTTAATAATGAGTAATGACTGTAGCATTGCATATTTAGGATGAAATAGGTGCTTTTTGCACAAGTATGCACACATTTATTCTCTTTTTCCACTGCTGAGCTAAACACCTTTTATCTTTGCATTAATTCCTTTACTTTTATGTATTTTATGAATAGTGTAATGACATTGTTTGTGTTGTACCTCTTAATCTGCTTTTGTCTCAGTGTTTGCAAGTTTATGCATGTTCATAAAGCCAAAATGGTTTCCTCGATAAACAAAGAGTGAGACTGTGACTTGATTTCTGTATCCCGTCACTTCTCTCTCTCTCTCTCTGAGTCATCCTTCTCAGAAATGTGTTACAGTGTGTGGAGGTACAAGACTCAGCTGGAATTCTAACTGAACGGAACTTTGCTTTTTGGCCAGAGACACAAAGCTGTGACTAAGGGTAAGACTGGTTTCTGACTTGATGCTTGGGTGTGTTCATAATCAAATCCTATAACAACACCAATCCTTCTATATAGTGGAAGGCAAACCTAAATTGTAGTTTGTACTTTTACAGTTGATCAAATCTGATTTATTATGATGTGGGACACCTGCAAATCTAGTATTCCTGTAGGTGTAAACAAACAGTGAAAGTGTTTTATATTGTTTTGCATGTGCAATAGGGCAATGGACATTGCCAGTTTGATGAGCCACATGATCAGTGAAGTACTCGTCTTTTATTGCTTGAGTAAAACTAGCAATACGTTGTAGATATACTCAGTTACATGTAAAACTCATGTTTTGACTTATTAGTACAAAAGCACTGGTATCAAAATAAAGCTGAGATGATTATGATCAAAATTAAATTAAATGGCAACTCTTTGGGTCAAATATTTCAAAATTAAATTAAATGGCAACTCTTTGCTACTATTACTACTAGTACTACTACTACTATTTGCTACTTCCAGCTTCTCAAATGTGACGATTTACTGGTTGGTTTTATTATGTGATGGTAAATTAAATATCTTTTGGGGTTTTGGACTTCACCGTCAGATGGGAAGGCTTTTTTTTTACTGCTTCATAGACTGAACAATTCATCAATGAACTGATTTAACTGTAGTGCAGTAAAAGTATAAAGTAGCATAAAATGAAAATACACAAGTACTTCAGAATTATACTTGTGTATTACTTGAGTAAATGTACACAGTTACTTGGAGTTTCCGTTATCCACATAAACGTTGTACCATATGACATGGTACCTTCGCATCGAGCACACAGCTCTTTTTGGTGTCCTCGCCCACTCCGGCTACTCGGGTGTCAAAACAAACGCACCCTTCTAAGCACATAGTCAGCAACGAAACCTCCGAGCGGATCTGACTGTGCACGGAACTGATGGGACAGATACCGTGAGTATCTGATACACGTTAGACTCAGATACACCTTCATTCATCTGTAACCTAACATCTCCTTCTCAGCTTCTCCGTCAGCTCCACCTGAAGCCGTTTGCGCGCCACCTCTACAAATACACGGACACAAAATTGTGTCACACACGCACGAACCTACTATTGGGAAGTTTCTAACCATCTTGTCATTACTGGAATTTACTGTAGCTATTTTGTCAATTAGGCCATTTGCACTGCAGCCAAGTGTTTTATAGTTTACTTCACTGTACCTTTTAGTCTATTTATGAGGCAGCTACTTGTCGCTATGCAAATTCAGATTTCACGCACTCTGCATCACGTTTTATGAAATATAATAGACTGCTATAAACTACCCAACAGTAGATTTAAAATAAAAATGCATCCACCTCAGCTAACTACAACCGTAAATACTACATAAAGGCACTGCTAATACATTCTTCTGAATTACTATAGGAAGATCTGAATATTTTCTTCACCACATCATTTTAAACAGATTAGTTATTATTCATTAACATAGTAAAGGAACATCTCCAGCAGTGAACTTTGAATAAACACAGCTGTGTCCGTTTCCCCAAAGCAGTGTCATGTAAATACAATACATGAGTAACTGTACTTACTTTCCATCACTGCATTTATCCTCTGGTCAACCAGGGATACAGCACACAGTCTTTTAAAAAAACATATCCAGATTTGTTTGATAAGAAATTATGAGTATGTGGAGGTGTCAAAGACATGACAAAACATTTCATCCTAAGTGTGTTGGAGGGGAAATCTCAGCCAAAAGAATGTGATAGTTTACACAGTCTGCGGTAACTATGTATCCTCCTCTGCCTTTTGCCTGTATCACAGTGCAGAGAGACAGACTAAACCCTTTATTCAGATCAAGACATTTTGGCCAGATGTTAAATGTGGATGCTAAAACTGATCATATCACAGTGCAATAATTAACTTACAATCACACAACCATCTGCAGACTGCAGCGGTTCTGCTGTACATGCGGTTTCCCAAACCACAGATTTCCTACTTTGGAACCAAGCCTAGTTCTAGTTCAGCAGTAGAACAAAGCTAATTTTGAAAGCATTACTGAGAATATTAAATCCAGACACTAGCACTAGATTTGCTTGTCGCTTTAGCTGAGTCAGTACACTAAATTATCATCACTTTGTGTTCCTTTCTCAGTTATTTGCTTTGGCCTGTAACGCCCAAGTATCTACACATTATTGCTTAAGCAGAATGCTGAATGTTTAAAAACACAAACATGAAAAATACAGTACATTTTCTCTTTTGTGCCATTGTGTTAAGTAGTTATGTAACACTTCTTACATGCCAAATGTGTCAAAAACAGTTTTTTGGTATTTTTATAACAGCATCCCTGTCTTTTCTGTTCCTTTAAAAATTTTTTTTTTTTTTTTGATGACCCATGACATTTGGGATGACTAACTAAAACCACCCATCATATTGAAAGTCAAAAGCATGTGATCATGTCCTCATTAGCTAGTGTGGACGGCTAGCAGAGTGACATCATAGAATGAGGTGTGGAGCTCTGTACTGCAATAGCTATATTTACTAAACCATGTTCACTGTTTTACAATCCAACCACAATGCAGTCCTTCTTGTAACTACATCCCACCTACATATACTACTTCAAAATGTATGGCCTAAGAGCATTTCACTTTAAATAACTGAGTAAATGTGCATAGTAACTTTCCACCACATTGTTGCACATGCAGAGCTGTTAATGTTTAAAGGCCACAAACAAGTAGTCTAAAATGTCCTCTCTCTCACAGCTCTATCTGATTAGCATGGAAGTGTCTGAGGACGACTACTTTTACCATGATAACTTCAGCTTCAACATCAGCTATGATGACTACCCCTCTCTTTGTGAGAAGGATGACATCCGTTCCTTCGCTGCCCTCTTCCTTCCCATCATGTACACCGTCTGTCTGGTGGTGGGACTGGCAGGAAATGCCTTAGTCATGGCTGTCTATGCCTATCACAAACGCCTGAAGACCATGATGGATGCTTTCCTGACCCACCTGGCTATGGCCGACCTGCTCCTGCTCTTCACGCTGCCTTTCTGGGCCGTGGATGCATCAAGGGGCTGGATGGTGGGCGAGGTCGTCTGTAAGATCGTCTCGGCCTTCTACACGGTCAACTTCACCTGCTGCATGCTGCTGCTGGCCTGCATCAGCTTGGATCGTTACTTAGCATTAGCCAGGGTACAAGGTGAAGAACAAAGAGGGCTGTTGCAGAAGGTGTTCAACAGGAGACACTGCTGGAAGGTGTGTTTAGTTGTTTGGGCAACAGCTTTTATGCTTGGTCTCCCTGATTTAATACTCTCAGAAGTGAGGTGGGCATCTAATAGGAGTGTGTGCCTGGCTATATATCCTCCATCCATGGCCAGAGGTGGTAAAGCTGCCCTGGAGATAGCTGAAGTTTTGCTGGGGTTCCTGCTTCCTTTCCTGGTTATGGTGATCTGTTACTGGAGCATGGGCCGAGCCCTTAACAGCCTCCCTGTCGAGAGCAGAGGCAAGAAGTGGAAAGCTCTGCGTGTCCTCCTCATAGTAGTGGGGGCGTTTGTGGTCACACAGCTGCCTTATAATGTGCTGAAGGTCTATCGTGCTATGGACTCAGTCTACGCTTTAGTGGATCACTGTGGGACGAGTAAAGTGCTAGATCAGGCAGCTCAAGTGACGGAGAGCCTGGCCCTCACTCACTGCTGCCTCAACCCGATCCTCTACGCCTTCATGGGGTCCTCGTTCAGGCAGCACATGATGAAAGTGGCCAAAAAGTTTGGTGAGAAGAGGAGGAGGAGGAGAAGGGACCATCCTGCAGAGGAGGAAGGGATGGACATGACATTTAACTCCCACAGTGTATCTCAAGAGACAAACACCTTCTCAATATGAACATGTACTTCATGGTGAAAGGCATATATATTTTAAAATGACTTATTTAGCATTTAGAAGAGCAGATTCAGTTATTCTCTGGTGTAGGCTGTTAAAAGCAGCAGCAGTAGACTCAGAATCATCTTTAATGACCAAGTGTGTTCGAATATACAAGGAAATTGACTCTGGTACTAAGGCAGTAGTGGAAGCATGTGTAAAAAGGAAGTTGTTATTGCAAGTTATGGCAGATATAAACTCCCACCATACATCTGTAAACTCATTTCTCAGTATCCATCTCTTACATACAATGTTAGTTCACATGACCCCTACTGTACTTGCTGACTCTTCCTGTTGTTCAGACAGAGATGGCAAAGAAACATGGAACAGTTTGCAAAGGGATCTCAGGTTTACCAAGGTGGCATGGCTGGCAAATTTGTATTTTTCATTTGTGAGTGATAAAAGAAAAAACAAATATGTATATCCTGGTCCCAAAAAAGCACTACTTTGTCTGAGGTGCAGCATTTTCATGACAGTAACCATTTTGAACTTTAATTCAACCTTAAGACATCAGCTTTTTCAGAAGAGTCCCACAAGAGACACACAGAGCTTCCTGAAGTATGGAGAGAAACATGATACTTTATGCATTATGCACTGTTAGATGGTTTTATAAACATTTATTAATTATTTAATCATTATAAAATTATTATACTGATGTACTGTCTTTGTAGACACCAGAACTTTCTCAGTTTTCAACCTATGACCTTTTGTCTATCTACATTTCTGTATCATAGCTCCACATAGAAGAGAACTGCCAGATGAACTTTAAAACCTGATTGTGGCATATGTTATAATAAAAGGCATCTAATTAAGAATTGACTGGAACCATTTGTAGAATAATCACATCCCCAGTCGCCCCATTATGTTGCAGCATAATAAAGCTTTATATATTGTAATTATATACTAAATGGTAGCTCAGTAAATTAATCCAAGTTCTTAAACAGTTCTGATGGTATTAAGTTATTACTTGTAAAACACTGTGTATTACAAAGCTCATGAAAAGCTCGAAAATTGTTTTCGATACAAGGAATATTTTTTCTGCCAAAACGATTTGTTTATAGTGCCAGTAATGTACAATTTTAAAATTCCAGATAAAAACAAAGGTCTGTCCAAATACCCACATTTGACACTGCAGCATCCATCAGACAATACTGAGACACACTTAATATGTTAATTAAAAAGATTACCCACACAAATTACACATATATTGCTTTCAAAACTTGTGTCAAATATCCATCCGGTGGGATTTGCCTCCCTTTCATGTGGGAAAGTCACAGCCATGTTATTTCCTGAATTCCTTGGAAAATCTGCACAACAGACTGAAAAAACAACTCCTAGTATAATTTTTATGAGGTGATAAAATGTTGAAAAGCTTGTCAGGCTCTTGATAGCTGCAAATCTAACTTGATCATTAGAAACACTGATTTAACCCAGTAAGAAAACACTGTTAGTAGTCACTTGTGTAGCTACACAGAGAGGGAGGGTTGCATACATTCTTCACCCTATTTAGATAAACAAGCCAGTGTTTTTTGTTAAGTAGCTGGACATAAAACACAACACTACATAGTTCAAATATTTTAGACATCCCTTGCATCAGTTATTTTTTCAGTTCCACATACTGTATGCATGCTGTGGCTTGTCAAGGTCTCAAACAAGAGGGCGTTCACTCAATGGTAATCAGAAGTTCTCCACTGAACAGATGCCCTGATCATATTTTTTAAGGTTGAATGTTTATTAGCTTTCTTCCTGTGACCCAGATGATACAAATCAAGTAATGGTTTTCAAATGATGCTGTAGGTCACGCTCTGGTGCCTGTGCAGTCTCATCTGGAAACCATGTGCCTAAGATTTACCATCTGTTAAATGGAACAAAACACTTCACTCTGCCAAAATGAAATCATTTCAAGTTGAGAAGCTAGAAGCAGTTAGATTCAATGTGATACACACAGCCCTTTGTACGAGTTAACACAACCTTGACAACTGAGTTAATAACAGCTAAATAACAAAATAGTTTGTTTTCAATTTAAGATATGATCATTGTCTGAAAAGAACATTTCACAAGTGGAGATCAAATCCATTTATTGGAAAAACAAAATATAACAAAAATGACTTGTTGTAATCAAAGAACATTATAAATGTACAAAAATTTTAAGGCTCTTTGTATCTGAAATTTCAGATTAGAAATGTGGCTGATGCAATCATTAAATTACAATTAAGGCAGTCAACCAGCTCTAGTTTAAACAACCTAGAACCAACAATCTTTTTTTAAATAAGTACAAAATATTACTTGCTCAAATATATAACTGTAGTTGTAAGACTATTAAAAAAAATCAAAAACCAAAGGGCAGTGTCACAATAAATTATAAAAGAAAACATTTTTTACAAGAACAATGTTACAAAATGTAATTGAAAAACACTCACGCATTAAATACAACATGCTGTTTTAAGAAACATAACTATAACATTTGTTAGGTTTTTACACAATATGCTTTCAATGAAAAACTAGATCACCCCTGTATCAAATGGTAGGGAAAAAGGCCAATACTGAAGAGGTTACTGGTAAATATCAACTCGAGCAGAACGCTGACATACTCTCAAATGTTGATAAAGTACAGAAAACAAAGCAGTTGTCTTCAGTTCTCGCATTTTCCACTGAATGTGGAAAAATAGAAAGATACAGGCAAAAGTGCAGTAGGTAGATTTGTCCTGTTGTTCTTCCCATAAGACACGTTATCTCAATGGAATGTTGTAGATAACCACCCAGTAAACCATTTAAATCCCACTGGAGACATAATTAACCCTGGCTGCATTAATATCTTTTGGTAATTTTTTGTGTTGGCTGAGGGCAAAAGGCCGGTATAGCAATGTAAAGTTGCTTGGCAGAGAGAGAGAGAGAGAGAGAGAGAGGAAGTCTAATGTGTGTAAGACATTTTATTGTAATATAACATTGATGTCAGTGAAGGCGATGCCCTGTATCTAAATTGGGAAAAGGTGTGTGTGAAGCATCTTTAGAGAGAGGCAAAAAGCCCTTCCAGAGATTGTACGAGCATCTAGCAGAGCTGCTGTCAATCAGTAATTGAGGATCTGCAAATCAAACAGGTCACACACTCCCTCAGTGCCGTCCAGGTTGAAGCTGTAGTCTATGCCTGTAAGAAATAAAGAGAGTGGCAATGACAGTCAGAAAGGCAAGGTATAGATTTTTATAGCATAGTTGTGGTGATGGCAGTGTTGGACAGTCAACTATTTTGGTTTAAATTGAAATATCTCAACACATGTTGAATGGATTGACATGAAATGTGGTTCAGATATCCACTGTGTCCATAGAAAAATCCTAATAAAAACTTCCTAAGTTTATATTAAATCTATGGTAAATGTTAAAATACACAACAAAATTTCCACAACACGACTTTGTAAATCACATAAAATACTAAAATCTATTAAAAAAACTTTTAAAATGTGCAAATAAGCAACAAATTGCCTTGAAATTTTGGAAAACTATGAAAATCCTAATACTTTGGTAAGCCCCTAACTTTTTTCTCCAGCCCCACCAACAAGTCAAAGTTTTTACTTACCTTGTAAAATATCAAAATATCTCAGCATCTTTTAATGGACTCCATTCATTAAAAAAACTGTCCTCACACCGACAAAGCAACAGCAGCAAGGTTCTTCAGTTGCCAAAAAGATGCATTTATTCCTCTAGCACATGTAATAACACACATCTGACATAATCCTTTGAAAGGCCTGGATGAAAAAGCATGTACCCTGAAACTATTTTGGTCTTTTAAATGAACTGCATAAAATTTTGTCCAGACATTCATCATCCCTAGATGATGGATGTAACTTTACTGATCCCCTGACTGACTTCATCAGGTCAAAATCTATTTGTCCAATGCCTTGAATTATGAATAAATGCCTGCAAAACATTCCCATCATCATTAGTTGCGCTTTCATTTAGCAAATGTTTGCATGGTAACGTGCCAAACTAAGATGCTGAACATAAACATTATGCCTGATGATCATCAGTATAATAACATGGTCACTGTGCACACATCAGAATGTTGATGTTAGCATTTAGCTCAAGTCAAAAGAATTGCAAACACATCTGTAGACTAATTTTGTGGATTTCCTGTTTAAAGAGTAACCAAACAGCAGTAGTTTAACTTCACACCTGGCTGAACTACGGTACAGGTGGACTCCAGGATTCAACAGCGTCACTGTTGGGTGGCCATTATAGTTGCTCGAGAACACATTTCTGACCAGGCTTGAAACTTTTAATTAGGCAGTGCAGCAACATGTTCCTTGTTAGTCAGGTCTGTAATCTATACTGTAATAGTGAATAAATGTAAACAGGTCTTGCAATGCTTACCATCAGTCGAGATTAACTCATCAATCAAGTCAACAGCTCCTAGAAGAGAATTAAAAACATTTCTATCCTAATCCTGTAGAGTTAAACATTCACTTGCACGACTGTCTAACATCAAGTCATAACCACAAAAGCTGGGTCAACTAGCAACAAGAAAATTTTATCAGTCATTTTCGCTCACCAGTCCAAACATGCTGAGACCTTAAAGTCTCAACAGAACCATAGTCGAAACTAATGAGAAGTAAACATTAAATTCCCCCTGAGCCTCACTTCTGGATATAATTCCAGAATAAACTGTGTGCGCATCCGTTTGCTTTACCCTCTCTGTCGTCCTTTATGTGGTCTCCAGCAGAGTTGAGCTTCAGCAGACTGCCCACATCCAGAACAGACTGGAACTCTGGGTCCACCAGGTCTACCTGCTGCTGCTCCAACACTGCTGCTGGCTGACTATGACACTCTGCAGGGAACATGAGAGGTACGACAAGGATACTTAACTATACAGTGAAATCCCTTTTAATAAACAAAACATTACAGGGTTCATTTATCTGGAACCATGACTATAAGAAGAGGAGGGTCACTATCCCATAAACAGTGAAGCACTGGGAAAGTCTACAGCCAGCAGCTGGTTGCAAGAAATAGTCCCACACATAAGCTCACTGAAAATCTAAATCTCGCTGCTCTGTCTAAAGCCGGGCCATTTCCTGGCCAGGGCCCTGTTTTTTGAGTGTGATGAAGTCAAATCAAATCAAATTTTATTTGTATAGCGCCAAATCACAACAAAAGTCATCTCAGGACACTTTACAAAGTAAGGTCTAGACCTTATTGTTATCAATATTATTACATAGGGAAAACCCAACAAATCCCCCTTGAGCAAGCACTTGGCGACAGTGGGGAGGAAAAACTCCCTTTAACGGAAGAAACCTCCGACAGACCCCGGCT